TATATGAATTTATGCCCCACCTTCCAATTAACAAATATCTGTGCCACTGCTGGGATTTTTTATATATTAGTAAATCTGGTAGTCTAAAATCTGGTAGTTGGACAGTTAAATGTGTCATTTTCACTTCTGTCAATGCTATCGCAATGATATCCTGCTTTTTCTTCTTCAGGTTATTTATAACTTTTACTTTACACTGTCTTTATACTTTGAACTATAATAAAGTATTATTGAATCAATCATTAAATAAAAATTTCCTCTAAAGTAAAAAAAAACAAGCAATGTCATGACAATTAAGGTGTTAGTCCCCAAATCACGTATGATTGAATCAAAAAAACAATAACTGCATGTCCATTTCAAACAACTACAATTCTCAGAAATAGAAAGTATATTTTGTAAATTATATGAATGAATAGAAATAAATATAGAAAAGACTGTATTCATACTTATATAGCAAAGCAAACCTTGTGGGCTTTTCAGCATTTCAAAAAGGGATGTTACATGATCATGGTTGCTGTAAGATCAGTATTTACTCTCATTATACAAGAAAATGGCCCAACAACATTCATTTTAAGGAACTTCACAACTTCTGAATAGCTAGATATTGCAAACTAAACTCATAAATATACTTTGATAGTTCCATACAAGTTTCTTATTAAAAACTGTTCCAGTAAATGACAGTTGGAAACTTTAAAATACAAATGTTTCAATATTGTCAATAATATATTTATACCTTTTATAAATATACAACTGTTGTTATTTGAACCTTTGTTAAAAGAAATCTACCATATAACTGTTTCTAATCAGCTTTAGCATAAAGAAGACATACCTAAAATGAAAAGAGAAATTGATTTTCTTCTTCATTGAAAATGAGCTACAAATTCATTTCCTCTTGTTCCATATCCTTGTACGTTTTCTCAAAGACAGGAGTATTTTAGCTTCTAGCAAATAAAAGATAAATAGAAGTCCAAATGCTTCAGTTTCAATATTTATAGTTTGTTTATAACGAAATAAAGATTGTTGTACCTTATCGCAATATTAACATGGTCAGGTCCAAATGCTTTTGTTTCAATTTTCATCGCTCGTTCAAAAAAATCTTTTGCTTTTACGTACTCTCCCATTTCACTGTAAACCAAAGCCAGATTGATGTACGTTGTCGCAATATTAACATGGTCAGGTCCAAATGCTTTTGTTTTAATTTTCATCGCTCGTTCATAAAAATCTTTTGCTTTTTCGTACTCTCCCATATTTATGTAAACCGAACCCAGATTACTGCACGTTGACGCAATATTAACATGGTCAGGTCCAAATGCTTTTGTTTGAATTTTCATCACTCGTTCATAAAAATCTTTTGCTTTTTCGTACTTTCCCATATCATAGTAAACCGAACCCAGATTGTTGTACCTTGTCGCAATATTAACATGGTCAGGTCCAAATGCTTTCGTTTCAATTTTCATCGCTCGTTCATAAAAGTTTTTTGCTTTTTCGTACTCTCTCATATCATAGTAAACCGAACCAAGATTGTTGTACGTTGTCGCAATATTAACGTGGTCAGGTCCAAATGCTTTCGATTCAATTTCCATCGCTCGTTCATAAAAATCTTTAGCTTTTTCGTACTCTCTCATTTCTTTGTAAACAAAACCCAGATTGTTGTACATTGTCGCATTATTAACTTGATCAGGTCCAAATGCTTTCGTTTGAATTTCTATCGCTCGTTTATAAAAATCTTTTGCTTTTTCGTACTCTTCCATAGTATGGTAAACCGAACCCAGACTGTTGTACGTTGTCGCATTATTAACATGGTCAGGTCCAAATGCTTTTGTTTGAATTTTCATCACTCGTTCATAAAAATCTTTTGCTTTTTCGTACTCTCCCATATTTATGTAAACCGAGCCCAGATTACTGTACGTTGACGCAATATTAACATGATCAGGTCCAAATGATTTTGTTTCAATTTTCATCGCTCGTTCATAAAAGTCTTTTGCTTTTTCGTACTTTCCCATATCATAGTAAACCGAACCCAGATTGTTGTACCTTGTCGCAATATTAACATGGTCAGGTCCAAATGCTTTCGTTTCAATTTTCATCGCTCGTTCATAAAATCTTTTGCTTTTCGTACTCTCCCATTTATTGTAAACCAAACCCAGATTGTTGTACGTTGTCGCAATATTAACATGGTCAGGTCCAAATGCTTTCGTTTCAATTTCTATCGCTCGTTCATAAAATTTTTTGCTTTTCGTACTCTCCCATATCATCGTAAACCGAACCCAGATTGTTGTACGTTGTCGCAATATTAACATGGTCAGGTCAAATGCTTTCGTTTGAATTTCTATCGCTCGTTCATAAAAATCTTTTGCTTTTCGTACTCTCCCATTTTTTGTAAACCAACCCAGATTGTTGTACGTTGTCGCAATATTAACATGGTCAGGTCCAAATGTTTTCGTTTCAATTTCATCGCTCGTTCATAAAAATCTTTTGCTTTTCGTACTCTCCCATATATCGTAAACCAAACCCAGATTGTTGTACGTTGTCGCAATAACATGGTCAGGTCCAAATGCTTTTGTTTGAATTTCTATCGCTCGTTCATAAAATCTTTTGCTTTTCGTACTCTCCCATATCATTGTAAACCAAACCCAGATTGTTGTACGTTGTCGCAATATTAACATGGTCAGGTCCAAATGCTTTTGTTTGAATTTCTATCGCTCGTTCATAAAATCTTTTGCTTTTCGTACTCTCCCATTTTACTGTAAACCGAACCCAGATTGTTGTACGTTGTCGCAATATTAACATGGTCAGTTCCAAATGCTTTTGTTTGAATTTCCATCGCTCGTTCATAAAAATCTTTTGCTTTTTTGTACTTTTCCATTTGAATGTAAACCGAACCCAGATTGTTGTAAATTTCTCCAAAATTAACATGGTCAGATCCAAATGTTTTCGTTTGAATTTCTATCGCTCGTTCGTAAAAATCTTTTGCTTTTTCGTACGCTCCTATTTTACAGTAAACCATACCCAAATTGTTGTACGTTGACGCATTATTAACATGGCCAGGTCCAAATGTTTTTGTTTCAATTTCTATCGCTCTTTCGTAAAAATCTTTTGCTTTTTCGTACTCTCCAATACTGTCGTAAACCAAACCAAGATTGTTGTACGTTGACGCATTATTAACATGGTCAGATCCATATGTTTTTGCTTGAATTTCCATTGCTCGCTCGAGAAAATCTTTAGCATTTTCATATTCTCCATTCTTCAAAAGCAATAAGCCCAGCTCGTTGTACGAATATGAAACATCAATATGATCAACACCTAACACTTTACTTTGAATTTCTGTTATTTCATAAAGTACTTTAGTTGCAAGTTTATAGTTGCAAAATCTTTGCAAAACAACTACAAAATATTTGGCAAATTTCGATTTTCTTTCATCAAGTTTTTGTTTTGATGATTTTACATCGATCAACATATTTAGGAAATGTTGAAATGATGAATTTGATATGAATTTAATTAGATGTGGAATTATTTTAATTTCATCTTCTCTGTCTTTAAAATGATTTAGTGCCCAAGCAACTTGACAGGCAAGATCAGCTGCAGACTTTTAGAATTATTTTCGTTTTGTTTACAGCCAAGGTCTGCGATGAATAATTTATGATGGCTTCGTGTACAACGCTGTGCAGGCGGATGTCGTTGTTTTCCGTTTGAAGGAATAAAGAACAATGCTTTAATTGAAGACAGACATCTTCTGCAGATTTTGTGGATCAATGCTTTTAATAAATGTATTATAACATCTTGTGGTAAGGGATCGAAAGATATTATTGAGAAAAGTTTAAAAACATGTTCCAACAAGATGGATTCTTTAGCATTTTTTTGTACTGCTAACATAACAGTTTTCATTCCTAAGTAAGCTGTGTTTATTTTTTGAAAATTGGCATCCATGTTCTGTCGCTCTCCTTCATTCAACTTATCAAAATATTGCTTCCACGTGAATGTCGGATTTACACTTTTTACACTACCTACGTAGGAAGCAGCATTTGCCAGGAACAACGGTTGACGATCTAATTTGTCTGATAAATCCTTTAAAATTTTTCATCTTCATTATGAATATCAGAAAAAACAGATAGAAGTTGTCGACATTCTTCATTGTTCATACCATGACTAACTGAAATGTGCTTATTTAGATTTCCATCTGGTGGTATAGCATCTGTATTTTGGACAGTTACTATAATTTGACCATTTTCCCAGCTATGATCACCAACTTGAGGTAAAAATGGATAACTTTTATGAAGTTCAACCACGTTATCTACAATAATCCACCATGTTTGCCAAGATTTCAGTTGCTGTGTCAGCAATAATTGAAAATCTTTATTTTGTCTTCGCTGGTTTTTGCTTCTTTCTGAATATTTTCAATGACAGTTTTATCATTGCTTAATCGTTTACAAAGGTTTACATAAGTTTTCAAAAGAGAGTCGATATCTTTTCCATCGAGTGTCATCACAAATGTCGTATTCTTTTTCCAGTCAAACGAGTTATACATTTCTTCGCAAATTTGTCTAACTAATTGAGATTTACCACTGCCAGGATTACCAGAAATATAGTAATATGTTAGTTCATTGTTGTTAGTACTGCGCAAGTTATTGAGATCTGCTGTGATTTGATTAAGTAACTCTGTACGTTTAACCACATCGTGATTTGCTTTGCAAGGAAGTTCTTGAAAAGAATTAAATTTGTTTCGTTCACTCTTTATTTTATTAATTTCAGTGAATGAAAATGCTAGATCTTTAAATGACTTTTCAATATCACAAAGCATTTTGTCAAATTCGGTATCAGATACTCTTCCAGGATTATCATGAATAAAGTTGTTTCTAACAATACGAAGTGCATCAACGGCAGATCTAGTTGTTGTTCCAAGTATTGTTCCAATTGATTTGGAATACAATATCGCTGCAAACAGTGTAGTACAATCCCACTTACTGGTGTCACCATCTTGAAATTTTATTTCAATATGTTTGTCATGACGTTTCTTTTTTGTTTTTTCAATGTTGAACAACTTCTTACCACTAACACTTGTATTATCCCATACTCCGTAATTATTGCTCCACTCTTGGATAAATAAATCAACAAGTTTCTTCGTAACAACATCTGTAAGTATTTTCTGAATGTAGTAATTATTCCTTTCTTCTCTTGACTCCATCTAAGGATTATAAAAGGATTAAGATGAACATGGATATAGTTTATTAACCATGTTAAATATTATCAGTTCGTAAAATTTCAGTTGTGTATGAAAATGGTTAAGGAAGATAGTAGCAAAAAACAGCCCTGTGAATATTTGTGTTTAAAGTTGTCCTGCATTTAGGCATTTCTGTGGAAGTTAGACAAGTTTTCAAAAGCCTTCATAAATAATAATAACTTGTATGCCTCCATGGTCATTCTATCGTGTCGTCAAGAAAAGTGAAGCAAGTTTAGTTTATAAGTTTTAGTTTATATAAGTTTAAAACTTATGTAACGACTGCGTATAGAAAAATAGACCAGACGGAGAAAGGTTTTCGTCCCCCAACGCGGGAGTTTACTTAAGTAGACGTTTTGCTCAATATTGGGGCGTTGATTTCAAAAAACGATGTCATACGGGCAATTTTGGGGGCTTTAAGCCTTCTTTTCATAAAAATTGTTATTTTAGCTTTGTTTACAATAGACATACACTTTGACATCGTAAGACGTTTAAATATATCAAAAGAACAAAAAATTAGTAAAGAAGGCGCAGAGAAAAAATAGAAAGATATTTTACCTTTGAGATTTGTCTAAATTTTTAATGCTTTTTGGTGAACGTCATTTCCTGTTACATGTTAAATTAGTAACGTTTGTGTTATGAGGAACATAAAACTTCGCGTTTGTGGGAACGGCAACTACACAGTCGAGTTTTGCTGCAGAAATTTTAATTACTTGTGTTGAAGTCATGCTCACAAAGAACAAAAATACGTTTATGGAAATAGAATGTACATAGTTAGGTTTACCAATGTATCCGTTCCCATACTGTTAACACCCAACAAACACTTATTGACGTTATATATGACGTCCTTATGTACCATATATAGATTAGATATTAGATAGAACAACTAATTGACCAATGATAACATTTGTTATTTGTAATGAATACTATATAAATATTGATCTGTAAAACAATAAAATCAGTTCGTTCAATAAGTAGAGATTTGGAGCAATACCACGTGATTTACGAGCAAAGAAAGATGCAAATAAAAAGAACAAGACAATTGCTGATGCGAGTGGTCAAACCAAAATAGCATCATTTTTTCATTCTCAAGAAATTGGTGGAAAATTGACACACGATAGCGAAATATTAGAAAGGAAGGATGCCACCCCATCAACTAGCAGTACTTACTACGCTTTCGAAAATGCTTGCTGACGCCCAAGAATTATGCAAAAACTTGTATGTCCTTGCTGGTGTAAGCCCAAAAATAGGGTTTTACTTTTTCAAAACATCCAGAAGGAATTGTCAGAAGTTTATATTTGATATAAACGATAGTAATTATTCAATTTGAATAACTGTATAATTTGTTTCTGAAAATACAGCAAAGTGATTGACTATAGTTTTTGAATGAAGTCATCTTCGGTTGAATTGAAATTTCTATGCAGAGTGCATAATTTGAAATTAACGGTTGCAGTAAATTGGTATTGATGTGGGAAAGGTCGGTATTTTCGCAGTGTAAATCATTCAAAATTTATCTGTGTTAGAAAACCCCACCAAACGTAAGAAAGGTTATCCATATGAAAAATATGTAGCGCGGAAAAATTTATAAGTTATATTTAACTACAATAATCATGACATTAAAATGAAACAATTGATACATGTACACGAAACATTAAATCAGAAGGTTAAAATACACTATTACATAAAGAGAGTAAACTTTAAAATCAACATACCTCACAAATTCAGAAAGATTAAAAACGACACAACCAACTACATGATGTCTTTGCTTTTGCTTGATAATAAAAAAATTGGAATGTTAGATAAATGCTTGATTTTAATCACCTGCTGTTTTTATTGTAAAACATTGAGTTCTGTTCATACCTAATAAAATATGAAATGCAATTTTTTTATTTTAGCAATGACTGAAGTAAACACAAAGAACTTTTGACTTGGAAGCTTTATGCTAATAAACCTTTCACAGTTTACTATAATTTGTTTCAGTGGCGTGAGAAGCAAGTAAGAGTTGGGGGGCTCATGATTTTAGGGGCAATCTTTATTTAAGAAGGGAATATCAGAGTAATTAATATCAAAGTCTCTAATTTAGAATAATTTTGTCACATCTCAGTAATCAGAGATACTTCAAAATTGATAGCGTTTGGACTTCACAATTCATCATGCAAAGTTTTGTTCATTTTTGAACTTTTGACGCAAACAAATATTTTAAATAGTCTATAGATACATGACTATATGAATGAGGAAAAAACTCTTCTTGATAAAAGCCATGTTAGATAAAATTTAAATTATTGCACATAATGATATGCATGAAATTCTGTTACGTGTCATAGTTTTGATTCATCTTGTTGATTTTCCAGCTTTGCCGTACCGATGATATTGGAAAAGACTAGTGAAATTAATTGTTGGTGATAATGCAAGAAAGGTCAGTATTTTAAAATGATAAATTATCCAATGTGTTATTGCGAAAATCCCACCAAAATCAACAGATATATCAAAACATATGAAGTGTGAATTCCACCACGAAAATGAAAATTCAGGTTTTTTATGATAAATATAACAAAATTCTAGACATAAGAACAAACAATGACACTATGATAGGTATACTTCAAAATTAACTTACTTTAACAAATTCAGAAAGATTGAAGACGACACAACGAACTACATGATGTCTTTGCTTCTGCTTGATAATAAAGAAATTGGAATGCTCACTAAATGTTAAATTTTAATCACCTGCTGTTTTTATTGTAAATTATTGAATTCCGTTCATAACAGCGAGCCGACAAATAATGGAAATTTTATATGTGCACTAAAATTTTAGGTACCATGTAAAACAAAGTACACGCCTAAGAAACGACCAATCAGAAGACAACACGTTTCTTTGACTTATGACCTACTTTAAGATTAACTGAAACTTTCAATGATTCATTAAAATCTCTATAATCTTACAAACGCAAAGAATATTTGCCAAAAGTGAAATATATATTTAACTTTTTTTAATAACAAGTTCAGGAGTTTGTGAATTTTGATATTCGTGTTAGAACAGAACTTTCGCTTTGATTGAAATGTGAAATGTAAACGACATTTTTATCGTTAAGCAAAATATGTGACCTAAATTTACATCTTTTTATAAAGTTTCCGTTTTGCTAATGTTGATTCTTTGCTTTATTTTAGACATAAACATTTTTCTTTAAATTACAAACGAACGTCAAGTTGCATCATATTAAGCATTATTGAAATACCTTTCAACTAAGATTTCTTTGGTTACTTTAAGTGCGCCTAAATTATAGTAAAAATCTTAAGCAATCAATCAATCCATAGTTATCTAAATAAAAACTATATTGATAATAGTTGCACTAAACACTAATGTTGTAAAAGTTTTGGTTAAATTGAACAGTAATCAATCATAGTAGGGTTTTACATTGATTTATATATCCAAATTAACCAAAGATAATTAAAATCTGGTATGCTTTTTGTTGATGGTGCGAAATATGTTGAATTTGAGATTTAGATAAACTGTAATAAAAGAATAAAAACGTGTTTTTTACTTCTTCAAAAGACCATAAAAAAAACTACAGTACATAATAAACATGCATAACTGAAATTCTCTGACGTGTCTTCATTTTGACTCAACACGTTAATTTTGTAACTTTGCTGTATTATTATAATTTGAAATAAACGATTGGAGTAATTTGGGATTGATGTGAGAAAAGTCGTATTTTCCAAAAGTAATGTGTCCAAAATTTATCTGTGTTTAAAATCCCCTAAAATGAAGAAATTTCATCCATATAAAACATACGTGGCACTAATTTATAAGTTATATTTAAAGGACATTGGCAACGAAAATTTTTATGGCATATTTTTGAACCTTTGTGATGTCTAACAACTAAAATAGAAAAATTTTTTCTCAAAAATATTTTGTTGCTGAGATATTTGCAGCAAAAGTTTTATAAATTGCGCCATCTTGGATAAAATTTTGAAAAAATTATCTCGAGCGGTAGTGACGTCATTGGCTGGTGAGCAGTCAAAACAACAATACAATATACTTTGTGATTGACTGCGTTACAACACATTTAAAGCGTATTTTACGGGATTTTTTTGCTGTAATGGATGACATATACGAAAATCAACCGGGTGAGGTTCTGCCCTATCAATATGAACCTGAAGTGAAGGCCGAAACAAGCGAAGAAAGCGGTTCCGAACAAGAGAGTGAGCAGAGCGACTTGTCCTCGTCAGAGGATGAAATACATGCTGAATTTGAGAAAGCAAATGCTTGGCGCCTTCAAACTCTTAGTTGGTGTAAGTGTGGACATTGTACTTTGTCAAAAAAGGCAATCGAGTGTTTTTGTTGCCACGAAAAAGCACTTGAATACGATGAGTATGAGGCTTTGCTAGGCCAAACAGAAACTCAATGATAAATTGCTTGACAACACACCAAGAATTTAGGAACAATATGCTCTCAGAAAGTGTGTTAAAGATAGACGTGTGTCGGCATCTTGAAGAAAACTGGCCCCTGTCTGATGAGGATCTAGAGAGAATACACAAGCTGTATCGATTAGTCGCATATCAAAGATGTTCTAGGTGGTTTTTCAAATTTTGGGGAAGAAACATCGAAGACTATTTCCTGCTTGTGTTTATACTAGCATACAAAAACGCTTCGCGTCACCAGACGGACTTTATACACATTTTAAATACGCATGTTATCACGAAAGACCGTAAATTTAGTCTTAGACAGACGCTCTTTAATGTTCTTTGTTATGATCTGCAATTGCGATGCCATATCATTGTCAAAGGATTGTCACGAACTGCGCAAAAGCAAAATGCATGAGTGATCCACACAAAACTTGTATTCATTCATAAGTTATAAAGTTAATCGAAAAGTGTACTTGTACATTGTGCACGCAAACACGCACGTAAAACATTACGGATAAACGAAACTCTACAGTCAAGAACAAAACATCGCGGCTTAGAGCTTATCACCTATATAAAACTACATAATCTTTCAAAGACTCTTAAGTCTACAAATAATAAATTAAACGTATAACTCATTTGTTGGTCACAGGTTTGTAATATGGGAAAATGAAATATTTCTATTGCACGAAATGTGCAGTGTATAAAACGCGCTTGTTGTTGTCTGGGCTTACACTTGGTATGTCGGCAAAGCCAAGTAGTAAGATCTGCTAAAAGAAACGTTTCTACGTCTTATAACAACTAAATATTGGAAAAGTATATAAGCGTGATAAACTACACAAGTTTTGTTAATCTTAACAACCGCCGACTGTTGTTTTTGTTTTAAAATTCCAGTGAACAAATGTGCTATATATTATTGTAATACTATTATTTTATATTGTGTCATTCAGTGGATACCAGCCAATGACGTCAGTAATGTATTCCGGCATAATTTAGCATAAGCCTTTTTTTCCAAAATGGCGGATAAGGATTCAATTTTATGTCAAATTTTCTCAACAGCAAAATTCAAAAGAGACACGAAAGCACGAAATTAAGTATTCCATTGCTATCTATGATAAACTTATGAAAAAAAAATTTTCGTTGCCAATGTCCTTTAACTACAATATTCGTGACATCAAAACATAACAATTCATACATGGACACAAAACATTAAATCAGAAGGTTAAAATACACTATTGCATAAAGTCGAGTAAACTTTAAAATCAACATACCTTCACAAATTCAGAAAGATTAAAAACGACACAACCAACTACATGATATCTCAGGTGCGGCGTTCTAGTCGATTCTGTGGAATAATTTAAAAGATTTACGTTTCCGGTCACGTGATATATGTTACCCCTACCCCTACGAAAAAGGCTCCTACAATATACCGGAAGAAAAACCCCTTTCCTTTTATACCAACCAACCAAATCTTCAACAAATTTTACTGTACAAATACTATAAACAATTTTAACCAGAAGCAGAAGCAGTTGCTAAATAGTCTCGAAATCTTTATACAACAACGATGGAGATGTAGGGAATTTTCAGTATCTTCTTATTACATACGGTATGTATAGTTTCAAAACTTATTCTTATTTAAGACTTTTTATAATTCTGCCTTATGACGCTTGAATTTTATCAAGAGTTATAGCCAAGAGTTAAGTCGATATAAAGTTTGTCTAAATGGCAGTAATTCCAGGACGCTTTAATTTCTACGCAGCCTACAAATATGTCATTTCACTGTCCGACACTAATTACCCTGCGTTTTATGGAAAGGTCTGTGGCAACAAAATATTCGAAAAGGTCAAATTTTCAACAGTTTTCAGATGGATGATAAAAGTCTTTACAAGCTTTTACTTTACCAGACGTCATTTCAATGTAGAGTGCACCTGTGGAATCTTATTTCTTAACTGTAAATGATGTTGAGTCCTCTAAGAGGCATGTTAGTAGAAGAAGAGAAATACTAAAATAGAATAGGATAAACCTTTGTGTTTCTTGCCCTTTGTTATATGTCTAACATGTGAAGAGTTTTTTCTTTATAATTTCACAGCCTTTACGTTGAATCCATAATTGTTTAATTTGTGATTTTTTAATCTCACGCAAATAACACATTTATTAACATTTATTTCTTATAGAACAAATGTAAATGGTTTTAAAGTTCAAATGGATCATAATGGATCATAATGGATCGCCATTTCCACTATTCTGTTCAGGATTACCCTCCATTACGGTCAGAATCATCTTTGTTGCATTATTTATTAGTTTGCTGTCCTTACAGGGATTGTTTGTTTAAAACGAATGAAGTCGGAAGATGTCGAGCTGTTCATCCTATTCATAAAAAAACCTTGAGGTTTTTTAATTATGTGGTAAACTGTAAAAGTTTGCCTTGATTTAACTTTGTGTTTGACATTCTATCATTAAGCAACGAATATTTTATTGCATGAATTTGTTCAAAGATATTTGCTACGGAGATAAACCACTGCATATTTATGCATCTCGTTGGAAAATTTAGCCTGAGACACAGAAAATAATAGCGAATAATTTCCTTTGTAAACATTTTTCACTCCTCCTCCCCCTCTCCCCCCCAAATTAACGTTCTGGTTATTGTGAAAATGTTTATATTTTACTGTAGAAATGAACTCTTCTTATATTTGATACTTGATTTGCCAACAGTGTCTCTTTATACGTTGGTAGTGGTAGACAAAAACATCAAATGTTCCTACACAAGTGGACCTTCTGTTAAGATATCTATTCTCTGATGTAATCATAAATTATGTTAATGTTATATGAAGTATCCCACATGTCACTTGACCCATGAATCTGCGCATTTAATATACACGACGAGTTTTTTTAAAATAGACATGTTTCGACATCTCATGATGCCATCTTCAGTATGAGTGAAATAATAAGTGATACAGGGTTTATATAAAAGTAATATGATACATAAATTACAACAATAAAAGAAAATAAGTTAAATTAATGGGGAGCGTCCGAGCGTATTATAAACTAAATATTGTATTGAATTTAAAAACTTGAACATTAAGGTCAGGGTTAGTTTTGTTAATGTGGAGTGCTTCTTTGATTTTAAAGTGCTTCTATGACGAAAACTTAACGTTAAAAAATCATCGATTTTAGCATTTAATAGTTTAAACACATATCAATTATTGCTTTCGTAAAATGTAAGCAAAAATAATAAGATAACGAGGGAGTTATGAACATTTGAAATGTTTAATTTTCCTGTCCGCCATTAAAATCGGCCATTAAAATCGGCCATTTTGAATATATGCAATCAGCAAAGTCTGTGACGTCATAGTCTTAACACGGCAAGAAGCGCACATTGGAAAGTATACAAAGTAATACATAAATAGAGCAAACAAATGTCAAATTCATCGAGTTCTAGCTCGCTCTCAGAGTCTTCGATCGAGACAAACGCATCGATTTCTTCATCGGAATTTGTGACGGCAAATTCGGACGAATCTAATCCGAAAATTTTGCCATTTTCCGATAATATTTAACCGCTTGCTTCGCCCGATGAAATTGCTGAGTACGTAGCTGCAGTCGCAGAAGAACGGCGGGTTGAAGACATGCTGCAAGATCGTTTTGATGCCCGTGTTGATGTTACTTCATAGTAAAGGCTGAAACACACTGGGCAGTCGCTTGAGTCGCGCGTCCAAAGCGAATTGATGCGCACGCGTCAGTCGCTTGAACGCTTGAAACACACATGCAGGGACCATCGCAACTTTTACCGTGGCGTCTATTGAACATGGCGGTGATTTTAGTTTGTTACATTCACAGATATCACTTAAACTTTTTATTTTGGCCTTTATTATAGCTACTAATATATGAGTATTCACTCAGTACAAACTACTATGTTGTGAAAAGAGAACAAGCCAGCTAAAACACTCCAATATTATCATAGTCTATTACGCGTGTATCGTGGACAATCTTATTCTGTGCACTTAGGTTGTGCATTAGGGTTCCAGTTTGTAGCTCCTATTGTCCCTATTTGATAAGTCATATAAAAACTGAAAGTTTCCAGTGTGAATTCATTATATATTGCCTTCGTTTTCCAAAGTATAATCTATAAATTTCGTATGATGCTTATGACAGGAAATATGATATGCATTTAGGAAGTTAAAATGTATCTATTGGCCAATCAGTGTAAAGCGACTGAAGCGACCAAAGTCAAAAGTTCAACATGTTGAACTTTCAAAGCAACTAGCTGACGCGACTACGCTACTAGCTTAGTAACCACGCAAAGCGGTAGTTTTAGACGAGAGACTAAAGCGACTGCCTAGTGTGTTTCAGCCTTTAAGGGTTGACAACAAGATTCAACGAACAATGGCCACATTCACACCTTTAATGCCAAATTGTATGTTTCATATAAAGTTATCATAGGTAACGGCAGCCGATTCAGATCAAAGTAACATGACATCTAAGAGTGCCGATGCTTCAAATAGCAGCTTCGTTAGGTTTAAAGCCAGTTATGTTTAAATCTTCTTTGTTCATGCTGGATACAGACACTTCATTTTGTAATTCCTTTAAAACCTTAGTATAAATGTATATTATATATTCGAAGTTTGCCTGGATATATTATTGCTTCTCTCAAATTGTGTAAATTTATCATCTGCATTATATGTAAGTATATAATAGTTCTAACTTGTGCTAACGTCGCTCTCTTGACGTTGTTGGTGTTGGTGATTTCTTCCAAATAGTAGGTACGGCACCAGGTTTGAGCCGTCTGATCATACCACTCAAATGGAATAAACGCTCAAAACAATCTTCGAGAAGTGATTCGAACAAATCATTAATCGAATTTTGCGCGAACTCGGATTAAAATTTGCGCGCTTCGTCTGAACAAATTTAACCCAAATTCTTCTCAAAGACTCGTCATTTGGGCTTTTATGCAAAGATATGCCTGTACTTCTATTAGTTTTATTACTGCAATCTTGCCCGACACAGCGTGTTGGGATGTTAAAAAAATTCAAATATATAACCTTTTAAATCTCTATTTGTATATAGTGTTATATTGTAAACAGCCGCAAGTTAAGACTATGACGTCACAAGCACCTTCCTTCTTGAAAATACAAATTAAGCGCCTTTTAATGGCGGCTCTTAAAGTTCAAGATTTATCGCTTCGTAACTCGAGCAGCATTAAATATATTGCGATAAAATTTCGCCAGAAGACATTTTTTTACATACACTATTAATCTATGAAAAAAAACGAGAGGCAAAATTTTCGTCATAGTAACACTTTAAGGGTGAATGAGGAGTCGGCAGTGTCGATGATTTTGAAGCAAGAGGGTGAATAGTTGGTTTTACATGAGTGAGATTTAAGAAGGTGTCGTTAGACATGAGAGTTTTTGTCTGTTGTGGTATGTTCCCTGATTCTGGTGGATAAATGGCGTGACGTTTCGCCAATGTATCGGGAATTACATCCCGCGCAATTAAATTCATATACCATCAAAGATTTAATTGAATCAGGGATTGGGTTTTTGAATGAGAAAAAGTTTTTGATTTTGAACGATGTGAAAATTAGTCGAATGTCAATATCTGTACAGAAGCGTTTCATAATGTTTGTAAGTCTGCGTTGTGTGTGTCGTGAGTAATGTCCGATGTATGGTAGTTTGAGGTATAAAGTTGTTATTTTGGAATTTTCATTTGTGTTGGTTGTGATCGTCGTGTCAGGAGTTTCGGTGTCTAGTTTGAGGTTGTTGCTTTGTTTGTTGTCGAGATATCGTTTTACGGTTCTGTTAATAAAGTGTAGTGGCAAAGAGTTTCGTAAAAGAGTGGATGTGATTTTTTTTATGTCTCGTTGAAAGCCATTGTTCGTATTGCTAAGTTTGTATTCTCTGTCGATTAGTGTGCGTATAAGTCCGGTTTTGTATGAAAGCGGCGTGAAACTAAAATAGTTCGTCAGACGTCCTGTAGATGTACTACAGCTGTCATGGGATTTTGTTAGTAAAATGTCAAGAAATGGCAGTTGATCTTGTTGTTCAGTTTCACATGAAAATCTAATATTTGGGTGCTGTGAATGATGAGAAGTCGTCGAGGAAAGTGAAAGAATCTTTAGTGGAGTGGTCATCTGGTATGAGTGGTGTTAGTAGAGAACTAAGATACTTAGCTAAATTGTAGTTGTACGAGTTAATTGATGAAACTATCGGTCGTAGTGGAGGCGATTGTTCTGGTTCTCGTTTCTACTGAAGTTTCAGTAAGCCATAGAAGCGTGAGGGCTTAGAACCTCTGGGGAAGATATCATTATAAACTTTGTTGTTAATCGAGTCTTTCTTTAGAAGCTTCCTTAACAGTCGTTGTAATTTGGCTTCACGTGATAGTGTGACGTCTTCTTTGAGTGGGGTAAACTTTGCTGTATTGTTAATGATTTTAAGGCAGGAGTTACGATACATTTGATGATCCATGATTACGACGCCGTTGCCTTTGTGCGGTTTGAGAATGATAATGTTTGGATTGTTGCGAATGTTTTTAAGGATGTGGTGTTTTTTGAAGTCAGCTGGTTTCCACCAAACTATAAAACACAACATTCGCAATCAAAAAGACTACGCGCATCTCAAAACAGAGCTGGCACACATCGCTCACTCATTTATCTCATCTTATCACCCGACACCAGCTGACTTCAAAAAACACCACATCATAAAAACATTCGCAACAATCCAAACATTATCATTCTCAAACCGCACAAAGGCAACGGCGTCGTAATCATGGATCGTCAAATGTATCGTAACTCCTGCCTTAAAATCATTAACAATACAGCAAAGTTTACCCCACTCAAAGAAGACGTCACACTATCACGTGAAGCCAAATTACAACGACTGTTAAGGAAGCTTCTAAAGAAAGACTCGATTAACAACAAAGTTTATAATGATGTCTTCCCCAGAGGTTCTCAACCCTCACGCTTCTATGGCTTACCGAAACTTCACAAGAAACGAGAACCAGAACAATCGCCTCCACTACGACCGATACTTTCATCAATCAACGCATACAATTATAATTTAGCTAAGTATCTTAGTTCTCTACTAACACCATTCATACCAGATGACCACTCCACTAAAGATTCTTTCACTTTCCTCGACGACTTCTCACCTTTCACAGCACCTAAACATTAGATTTTCACTTGAAACTGAACAACAAGATCAACTGCCATTTCTTGACATTTTACTAACAAAATCCCATGACAGCTGTACAACATCTACATATCACAAACCAACATACACAGGACGTCTGACGAACTATTTTAGTTTCACACCACTTTAATACAAAACCTGACTTATACGCATACTAATAGACATAGCATACAAACTTAACAATACAAACAATGGCTTTCAACGAGACATAAAAAAAAATCACATCCACTCTTTTACGAAACTCTTTCCCACTTCACTTTATTAACAGAACCGTAAAACGATATCTCGACAACAAACAAAGCAACAACCTCAAACTAGACACCGAAACTCCTGACACGACGATCACGACCAACACAAATGAAAATTCCAAAATAAAAACTCTATACTTCAAACTACCATACATCGGACATTACTCACGACACACACAACGCAGACTTACAAACATTATGAAACGCTTCTGTACAGATATTGACATTCGAGTAATTTTTACATCATTCAAAATCAAAAACCTTTTCTCATTCAAAGACCCAATCCCTGATTCAATTAAATCTATGGTGGTATATGAATTTAAATGCGCGGGATGTAATTCCCGATACATTGGCGAAACTTCACGCCATTTATCCACCAGAATCAGGGAACATACCACAACAGACAAAAACTCTCATATCTACCGACACCTTCTTAAATCTTACTCATGCAAAACCAACTATTCACCCTCTTGTTTCAAAATCATCGACACTGCCGACACCTCGTTCAACCTTAAAATCAAAGAAGCACTCCACATTAACAAAACTAACCCTGACCTTAATGTTCAAGTTTTTAAATTCAATACAATATTTAGTTTATAATACGCTCGGACGCTCCCCATTAATTTATTTTATTTCCTTTTATTGTTGTAATTTATGTATCATATTACTTTTATATAAACCTTGTATCACTTATTATTTCACTCATACTGAAGATGGCATTATGAGATGTTGAAACGTATCTATTGTAAAAACTTGTCGTGTGTATTAAATACGCATTAGCAATAGTGCTTTTACGAAATTAGCCATGAATATCTTATTTCCTCTACTACCTCTTGGCCATGCACATGATGTGTATCGATTTAGAACATTACTATTATATAGTAGAAATTTATTTCTTTTTATTATTATATAAAGATATATGAAAGTTAACAAGTTCATTTTCCAAACTTGGTTCGAGCTAGCTCCAAATCTCAGCAAAATCAACAAAGTTATTTTATAAAACATTTACATACGTACATAACGCGGAAGTAGAATATTTTACAGAAAAACAAAATAATCGATAAATGGACATGAAACATTAAATCACAAAATCAAAACACAATATAACAACGAAAGGTAAAGTTTAAAATCAACATACCTTCACAAAGTCAGAAAGATTTCAAGACACAACGAACTACATGATATCTGCGTGGCGTTCTAGTCGATTTTGTGGAATAATTTAAATGATTTACGTTTCCGGTCACGTGAGATATGTTACCTCTACCCTAGGAAAAAGGCACCTACAATATACCGGAACAAAAACCCTTTCGTTTTACCAACCAAACAAATCACTCTAAAGATGACTACCGCTTAGGTTGTCGAAACGTCAGTCAACAACAACAAAAACAGTCCTTCTCAGGACTATACCAACCTGGACGATCTACATTTACAAACATGTTACAAACATCAAACAAATCACCCCATTCGTCTTATGAGACGTGGCTAAAAGCCGGTAAAGTACGGGTACAAAACGTCGGCTGGTAGTCGTGGGAGATACATACGTTGTACTTTGGTCGTTTAACTTATGTTATTGTGTCATTGGTAATATCGATAATATTTTCTCATTTGTGATTTTCTTGTTGGTAATTTTGAAAGATGCCAAGGTACACCAAATAACGGCCTTATAGCTGTTAGACTTTTCAACATTTATTTTCATTTTATAGATTTTTATGATAATTTTTGTAGGAGCAATATAAGGTTTAAAGCAACTGTAGCTGTCACATATCATGATGAGGATGGCCATGTTGAGAGAGAGGAGGTGGATTTGTCAGAATTGGTTACTGAGGATCATAGAGGAAGCTGTTCTTTTAACAGTCCTGATAATTGTGATGCATTGGAAGGCCATGAACTGGGAATGGAACAAGATAACAGTGATCTTGAAAGTGATGTTCACCATGATTGTGAAGAATCATCTTCTTATTACCAGAATGTTGAAAGAAAACAAAAAGCATGGGAAAATTTGCGACTTTCAATTATAAAGAATACATTTCAGTTTGCTGGCAAAAATTGGAGCAATCTGAAGTGTATTCATTGTGATAATGAAGCAAAGTTTAGGTGCAGCGATTGTGGTCCAATGGCAAAGTATTGTGAGAACTGTATGTTAAAGATGCACACAACCGTAAATATTTGTCATCATGTTGAAATATTTAAGGTAACCTTTATGAGCTAGATATTATAAAAGTGTTTACAGTTAACTCTCTCAACACTTGCAACAAAAAATGCAAAAATAAAATGAGAGTTTACATTGTGAAACATGCTACAAGCACTAATCTAATATTTTTATGAATGCAAGAAAGGGATTGATTACAACTAATTTCTACGAGGTTATTCATTGCTTTGTAGGATGGCATGTTTTGGCCATATAAACTCATGAACATGCTGGTGTATGATTGTTCATGCCAAACAGCTCGTCACAAAAGAAGTGTTTCTGTTGTTGATGTTAAAGGTATGTTATATGTAAAATGTGCTGCAAAAGTTTTTCATTTTAGCTGGGATGGTTCAACACAATTATAATTTTGGATCTTTTTCAATTTTAGGCACCTTTTGTACTGTTGAGGTACACTTTTGCTCATGCTCTCCAGAGTTTGTTCAACTTCTGCAATTTGGCCTTTGGGGTGGAACACCTACAAAACCAAGAATTGCATTTGCAATTGAGTTTTTGAATTGATTCATTCTGTGCAGATGGAATGCCAGGCATCAATAAAAAGCATTTGTCAGTCATTTGAAGAATTTAATCATAACCACATATTCTCTTCTTATGCAACACCAAAAATGTATCTTGTCATTATAGATGCTTTTGAAGAATATAGGTAACTGCATGTAGGTCACTGATTTTTTGCACTGCTGTACTACGTATGAATTGCTGGGAAAGTTGCAGTCAATTTTATAGCCTAAGAATCTCATCTTAAGAGATGTATTTAATTGGAGGAAATCAAGATGCTAAAGTTTATGATGGGAAAGGATTTTTCCTCAAGTATTACTGTCTTGCACTGTATTTTGTTTATGTCATTTTCTTAAGAGTGCACAATTGCTTTCTTTGTGTCATTGTTTTTTTTTAAAATTTACAGACATAAACTAAACATGTTGAGCTGTGTTATTCTTGAGCTTGATGAAGGAAATATCTGTCCTACTTGTCCCAAAGTGAGTATATTCGTATTACTTGTTTAACAATGACAATTTAGTAAAAAGAACAGTAGCAATGCTATCTCAAACACCTTTTTGACTGCATAATTTGCATCATTGAACTCAAATACATTGCATGATTTTATCCTTCACCATTTTATTGAAGACTGATGGTGTGATCTTTGAGTCTCTTGATGCTCTATTTATTGGAAATTTTACAAGTTGTTGCTGTGTTTTCATTTTCTGGTAAAATCCCTTTTTGTAGTGTATTCCAAAACTGTGGTAATACATATGCCAGGTTAACAACATTATCTGAGATCCAACATCCAAGTACAATCCGTAAGTATGCGCTGTAATGTGTGGGATTGCTTTGGTATATTGATGGAATATTCTTTGTGGTTGGCTTAGAAAATGATAGCATGCTCTTGAAAAAGGCATAGTTATAGCTTGATATAGCCATCATAATCATTACAACCACGCCACAAACATTGCTACATGTTTGCAATGGATACACTTTCGAACAATTGTCTGTGCACTTGTGTCCTCCTCTAATCCGGCATCTGCTAACAGGATCATGTTTCATTGTTACTAAGTAGTTGGCTATGCTGTCGCAAATATTATGTGCCTTGATGAATTTATCTAAAATGTGTAGAAGAGTGTTAGGAAATTGCCAGCCTAATGAATCCCCATATGTAATGTTTTTGTCATTAGTGTCTACATAGCAAAGTACCCAATGGTTTCCAGGGTGCAAATCATCTCCAAGGAATGTGTTGCCATTGCTTTTTTTACCAACATTTATGGCAAAACAGAATTTTGAAATGAATTCATATTTAGCATGGTGTTGGGCTGTTGTGGGTGGTTTTGTTCCATTGAGGTACACATAATATGTATCTGTTTTCTTTTGGTTTAGGTTTGTTGTCAACCAGCATATGTGGTCACTTGACACCCATCTGTCAACACATAACCTGGACATCTCATTGGATGACAATCCTCGTTCTTTCATAATCTCACTGTATGGGGTTCTGTACAAAAGCTTCTGAAAGGCTGTAATTGAAGCAGCTGATGGATGTTCCACCACCGTGTCTGGTTTGTTCAATGGTCGTGAAAACCAGGCAATTTCCTCTTCGACTTCTACTTGTATGCTTTTAAGGTGTGAAATTTCTGCAGATTGGTGATGCAATTGATATCTAACCTTCCTTGTGATGTGTTGATACATGCTCCTTTGCTTGTACTTGATGCCTCAACTATTTTTCTCCATTGTTGCAACTGGTCCATACTTGGCATAGATGTTACATGGCAAGGATCAACAACTGAATCATCATCTGTACTGCAATTTACACCTTTGGTAAACCATTTCTCAATCTTTGGCAACAAAGACTCAAAAGCCTGACCTCTAGTTAGCTTGCTCAGTACGGGCTCTATCTTTTTTGAAGCTTTTTTGAGAGACAAAACCTCCAAATAAATTATGTACATATAATTAACAAAACTAATTTCCATTTCTATATTATGAATTTTAATGCAAGACTTTAATCCTATGTCATGTCAGGGCCTATATTCATGTTGCCTTGCACCCCATCCCCATTGCACTGCAAAGGTCTGAACTAAATAACCTAAATAACTGCATAAAATTTGCAAGTAGTGCAATGCAGTGGAAGTTCCGGGTAAGTCAGAATATGTTTATGTTTAGTAGCTTATTATAAATTTAAAATACTATAATAACAACACTGCTGATATTGTTATAATTATTACCAATTATTTCCAAAATATTGCCAATACGGCAGTTGTCAAGTAGTTTCATGTATTCTGACTTACTCTGCAGCGAAAGTAGTGTTTGCAATTCAGTTAATGTATGTGCATATGCTTAGTGTGATGAAGCAATTAAACTTGCAATACCTTCGTATTGTTATTCCACATACCGCTTTTCACGAATAATAAAGAACTTAAAACGTTAAGATATTTAGCTTTATTATAGAGCAATACAATGGAAGGAGAACAAGAAAGTTGACAATGCGCATACGATGATGTTTTTTTACAAAAAAGTTAAAGTGGGTAAAATCGTATTTCGCGGCAAGACGATAAAACAATTCGCGCGCGTAACCATGGTGACATTTAATATTTATCTTTCAGTTCACGTTTCACGTGACAAATTTCAACATGGCTTCTGTGCTACGATCTCTCGATTTAGCTGCAAGTCCAAAATCGTTGGTGTCTTATCAAAGTGATTCTTCTGATGAAGAGAGAAGTAATAATGATAAATCTAAAGAAGATGAAAATCGAGAGCACTGTCAATATGGATGCTCTAAAATCTAAGTTTTTTTTAAACAGCGCGCCAATTGTTGATGCTAAGGTAAAGTGTAATAGTTTTTATCCAAAGTCCTAACTAGGCAACACCAAGGTTAAATCTATGATACAATTTGCTATGCTTTAAAGGAAAGAATTGATTGGAGAAGACACAACGATCCAAAATGAAAGAAGTTACATTTAATGCAAAGTATGACAAACTCTTTTCTGCTTCGGTACGTTAATAATTTAATCATTGTCACCATTTACATGCACATGGACAAAATCATGATTTTGAAGAAGTCTACTATTTTAGATTGGACCGCAAAATCCATTTAAAACGAAGCAGCAAAGAGCACATAAAAATATGTTGTCTGGTTATGTTGAGCCAGCTCATATCAGTAAATTTCAATTTGATAATCAACTAAAAACATTCTCAAGTTATGGTAAGAGCAAAAGCAAGCATAGTTTGAGAAAAATGTATTTGTTAATGAGTTATGTGTGATCTTTTTGTTTTTAAGAAATCACAAGTTATGCATTAGATCCAAGTGATGACACAGCTCACATTGAAGAGAAGTTAGTTACAATATATGTATATAATATTGTTACAATGTGCTTATAGCATAACTATGATATAGCATACATCTTCAACGATAGTCATGTTAGTGCAGGAAAACCAAACTAAAACCCCATACAAACCAACTTTTTCATCCTTTATTAGTTTCCGGACTAACTTTTTATACCTAATTCATAATATGTAAAGGGTATTGAACATTCCTACATCAAACATGTTCCTCAGTGAATGCATCAAGTCTGAAATAGAATAATGCTGATGTATTATATCACTCAATTACTTTGAAATGATTCAAGCTGATAAATGTTTATTTGAGTGAAACATGATGAATGTGTTTGTCATGAAATTACCTTAAAAACATAATGTAGTACATGGCTCTTAATTATTAGTAAATAGGCTTGGTAATGTTTTATGTTTATATCAATTGTTATCCATTAAGATTTTTTGGGGAGGTTGAGAAAACAAAGGATAGCAAGGGATAGACTGTGTTTGAAGCTACAAAGCAGCAGGCGGGAGATAAGAGGAAAAGATAGGATAGGGGAGATCCTGGTGTGATTGATGGATACAATGGTACAATAACTACAAAAATCATAACTTTTGAAAGGTTGTCCGACTATCTCTTATTCTATGTTATTCTATAGGACCATGGAGTAATTTGCTGATAAAGAAACTATTGCTAAACCATCTGAGGTAATTCAATTACCCAAATAGTTTTATAAAGATATTTTTCAAATCAAACAATTATTTTTCTGGCAATTTACCTTGGTAAATACAGGAAGAGTCGACAATACTTGAGGAGTATGAATTATCGAAGAAAAACAAATCAAAGAAAGATGATATGAAACCTTCAGAAGAGAAATCCACATTACACAGTAAGTTAAAATTTTCGTACTTTCTTGTAGTTTCCTAAACTTTACCAAATGTAATTATTTTTCAGTTAAAGATGCATATGACTATTAAGGAAGATCATATCTTCACATTCCACAAGATCTTGGAATTAATCTCAAGTCAGATACTCCTCCAGAACCTTGTTTTCTACTGTAATTTCACATTACAGTATTCATCATCCAAATATATACTTAAAATATGAGCGTTTTTTTAATACGATGCTTCTGTTTGAGTCAAGACGTTTAGGTGATCATTTGATATGTTTATAAAATCATATTTATCAGTGTGTTATTTATTATAAAGTAATGATTTTTTCTAGTACTACGTACGTATGTTTGTAGATATTGTATTGGACTTCCTTAGCACTTGTTTTAAGAAACACGACTAACCTGACATTTACTTATCATTTGACTCTGAACATGACTACTGCTAAGGTTGTCGAAACGTCAGTCAACATCAACAACAACAGTCCTTCACAGGACTCTACTAACCTCGACAAAAACGTAACGATACTTCCTGATGCAAATATTCACTTTATACAGCACTTTTTAATAACATTTAAATATTTGTTTTCCTGTAGTTCATCCTTCTACCGTCGTGATAAAAGAAATCAATGGAGATTTTCTTACTTATGTATTATTGTATTTTTTTTATCTTTCTCTTAGGTCTGGTCACACTAAATGTGTTTCTGCAATAAGATTCTTTGCGAAATCTGCTCATCTTCTTCTGTCGTGTAGCATGGATTGTAAAATTAAGTCATTTTCTCTGTCTTACATGTCGTTGTTCATTTTAAGTTTGGTTGTACATCGATGAATGTTCCTCCAACATCACTAGAGGTGAGAATTTTTAACAAATTACCATCACGACAAGCAATATATTTGAAAGAATACAATTCCTTTCAGAAACTGCAAGATGATATTCATGTAAGCGCCAACGGCTCTGTTTTTGTAAAATGTAACATAAGACGAGAAATTTTACCCTGGTAATGTGGGATATTTCACATTCATTTGCTTACTGGTCACATTTTTATTGATTCAAAAGGTTGTTAAAAAAATAACATTTGTATTTTGTTGTATATTTTGCATTGTACATAGCGTTCCTTCTTAAGTGTTTACTCTCCTAAATGGGTCTTGATATCTTTGGTTATTATATGCTCAATAAACTATATTTATTTTAGAATGTTAGAGGAGATATTAGACACACGTATTATGGTAAAGAAAGCTGTGAAAGATTGTAAAGATGATAAAGTAAGTTGGTTTTCTTAAACCTTTGTTTTCGAAACGATCTTTTATGTTTTTATAAGATCCAGTAGCTAAAACGTCATGGAGTTTTCTTCATGTTCAAAAAAGATGCCTTTCCTCTCTTGTTTGTTTTCTTTAATTATTCAATATCCTAAATAATTTACATTTTAGATTCTTCTTCAACTTCTTGATGCTCGACAGCTTGCTTTAAAGTTGATTGCAAATGTCACTTATGGTTACACATCAGCAAACTTCTCAGGACAAATGTCGTGTGTTGAGGTAACTTTAATCTTGTCATGATAGAAATTTAAACAAACGATAGCTCTTCCCTTTCCATCTAAACAGACCGTGCACCGTAAACTTTGTATTCATGATAGAAATTTAAACAAACGATAACTCTCCTCTTTCCATCTAAACAGACCGTGCGCTGTAAACTTTGTATTCATGATAGAAATTTAAACAAACGATAACTCTCCCCATTCCATCTAAACAGACCGTGCGCCGTAAACTTTGTATTCATGATAGAAATTTAAACAAACGATAACTCTCCCATTCCATCTAAACAGACCGTGCGCCGTAAACTTTGTATTCATGATAGAAATTTAAACAAACGATAACTCTCCCATTCCATCTAAACAGACCGTGCCGTAAACTTTGTATTCATGATAGAAATTTAAACAAACGATAGCTCTCCCCATTCCATCTAAACAGACCGTGCGCCGTAAACTTTGTATTCATGATAGAAATTTAAACAAACGATAACTCTCCCCATTCCATCTAAACAGACCGTGCCGTAAACTTTGTATTCATGATAGAAATTTAAACAAACGATAACTCTCCTCATTCCATCTAAACAGACCGTGTGCTGTAAACTTTGTATTCATGATAGAAATTTAAACAAACGATAGCTCTCCCCATTCCATCTAAACAGACCGTGCGCCGTAAACTTTGTATTCATGATAGAAATTTAAACAAACGATAACTCTCCCATTCCATCTAAACAGACCGTGCGCCGTAAACTTTGTATTCATGATAGAAATTTAAACAAACGATAACTCTCCTCATTCCATCTAAACAGACCGTGCGCTGTAAACTTTGTATTCATGATAGAAATTTAAACAAACGATAGCTCTCCCCATTCCATCTAAACAGACCGTGTGCCGTAAACTTTGTATTCATGATAGAAATTTAAACAAACGATAACTCTCCCCATTCCATCTAAACAGACCGTGCGCCGTAAACTTTGTATTCATGATAGAAATTTAAACAAACGATAACTCTCCCCATTCCATCTAAACAGACCGTGCGCCGTAAACTTTGTATTCATGATAGAAATTTAAACAAACGATAGCTCTCCCCATTCCATCTAAACAGACCGTGTGCCGTAAACTTTGTATTCATGATAGAAATTTAAACAAACGATAACTCTCCCCATTCCATCTAAACAGACCGTGCGCCGTAAACTTTGTATTCATGATAGAAATTTAAACAAACGATAACTCTCCCATTCCATCTAAACAGACCGTGCCGTAAACTTTGTATTCATGATAGAAATTTAAACAAACGATAACTCTCCCATTCCATCTAAACAGACCGTGCGCCGTAAACTTTGTATTCATGATAGAAATTTAAACAAACGATAACTCTCCTCATTCCATCTAAACAGACCGTGCGCCGTAAACTTTGTATTCATGATAGAAATTTAAACAAACGATAACTCTCCCCATTCCATCTAAACAGACCTTGTGCCGTAAACTTTGTATTCATGATAGAAATTTAAACAAACGATAACTCTCCCCATTCCATCTAAACAGACCGTGCGCCGTAAACTTTGTATTCATGATAGAAATTTAAACAAACGATAACTCTCCCATTCCATCTAAACAGACCGTGCGCCGTAAACTTTGTATTCATGATAGAAATTTAAACAAACGATAGCTCTCCCATTCCATCTAAACAGACCGTGCGCCGTAAACTTTGTATTCATGATAGAAATTTAAACAAACGATAACTCTCCCATTCCATCTAAACAGACCGTGCGCCGTAAACTTTGTATTCATGATAGAAATTTAAACAAACGATAACTCTCCCCATTCCATCTAAACAGACCGTGCGCCGTAAACTTTGTATTCATGATAGAAATTTAAACAAACGATAACTCTCCCATTCCATCTAAACAGACCGTGCGCCGTAAACTTTGTATTCATGATAGAAATTTAAACAAACGATAACTCTCCTCATTCCATCTAAACAGACCGTGCGCCGTAAACTTTGTATTCATGATAGAAATTTAAACAAACGATAGCTCTCCCATTCCATCTAAACAGACCGTGCGCCGTAAACTTTGTATTCATGATAGAAATTTAAACAAACGATAACTCTCCCCATTCCATCTAAACAGACCGTGCGCCGTAAACTTTGTATTCATGATAGAAATTTAAACAAACGATAACTCTCCCCATTCCATCTAAACAGACCGTGCGCCGTAAACTTTGTATTCATGATAGAAATTTAAACAAACGATAGCTCTCCCCATTCCATCTAAACAGACCGTGTGCCGTAAACTTTGTATTCATGATAGAAATTTAAACAAACGATAACTCTCCCCATTCCATCTAAACAGACCGTGCGCCGTAAACTTTGTATTCATGATAGAAATTTAAACAAACGATAGCTCTCCCATTCCATCTAAACAGACCGTGCGCCGTAAACTTTGTATTCATGATAGAAATTTAAACAAACGATAACTCTCCCATTCCATCTAAACAGACCGTGCGCCGTAAACTTTGTATTCATGATAGAAATTTAAACAAACGATAACTCTCCCCATTCCATCTAAACAGACCGTGCGCCGTAAACTTTGTATTCATGATAGAAATTTAAACAAACGATAACTCTCCCATTCCATCTAAACAGACCGTGCCGTAAACTTTGTATTCATGATAGAAATTTAAACAAACGATAACTCTCCCCATTCCATCTAAACAGACCGTGCGCCGTAAACTTTGTATTCATGATAGAAATTTAAACAAACGATAACTCTCCCATTCCATCTAAACAGACCGTGCGCCGTAAACTTTGTATTCATGATAGAAATTTAAACAAACGATAACTCTCCCCATTCCATCTAAACAGACCGTGTGCCGTAAACTTTGTATTCATGATAGAAATTTAAACAAACGATAGCTCTCCCATTCCATCTAAACAGACCGTGCGCCGTAAACTTTGTATTCATGATAGAAATTTAAACAAACGATAACTCTCCCCATTCCATCTAAACAGACCGTGTGCCGTAAACTTTGTATTCATGATAGAAATTTAAACAAACGATAGCTCTCCCATTCCATCTAAACAGACCGTGCGCCGTAAACTTTGTATTCATGATAGAAATTTAAACAAACGATAGCTCTCCCCATTCCATCTAAACAGACCGTGCGCCGTAAACTTTGTATTCATGATAGAAATTTAAACAAACGATAACTCTCCCCATTCCATCTAAACAGACCGTGCGCCGTAAACTTTGTATTCATGATAGAAATTTAAACAAACGATAACTCTCCCCATTCCATCTAAACAGACCGTGCCGTAAACTTTGTATTCATGATAGAAATTTAAACAAACGATAGCTCTCCCATTCCATCTAAACAGACCGTGCGCCGTAAACTTTGTATTCATGATAGAAATTTAAACAAACGATAGCTCTCCCATTCCATCTAAACAGACCGTGCGCCGTAAACTTTGTATTCATGATAGAAATTTAAACAAACGATAACTCTCCCATTCCATCTAAACAGACCGTGCGCCGTAAACTTTGTATTCATGATAGAAATTTAAACAAACGATAACTCTCCCCATTCCATCTAAACAGACCGTGTGCCGTAAACTTTGTATTCATGATAGAAATTTAAACAAACGATAGCTCTCCCATTCCATCTAAACAGACCGTGCGCCGTAAACTTTGTATTCATGATAGAAATTTAAACAAACGATAACTCTCCCCATTCCATCTAAACAGACCGTGCGCCGTAAACTTTGTATTCATGATAGAAATTTAAACAAACGATAGCTCTCCCATTCCATCTAAACAGACCTTGTGCCGTAAACTTTGTATTCATGATAGAAATTTAAACAAACGATAGCTCTCCCCATTCCATCTAAACAGACCGTGCGCCGTAAACTTTGTATTCATGATAGAAATTTAAACAAACGATAACTCTCCCATTCCATCTAAACAGACCGTGCGCCGTAAACTTTGTATTCATGATAGAAATTTAAACAAACGATAACTCTCCCCATTCCATCTAAACAGACCTTGTGCCGTAAACTTTGTATTCATGATAGAAATTTAAACAAACGATAGCTCTCCCATTCCATCTAAACAGACCGTGTGCCGTAAACTTTGTATTCATGATAGAAATTTAAACAAACGATAACTCTCCCATTCCATCTAAACAGACCTTGTGCCGTAAACTTTGTATTCATGATAGAAATTTAAACAAACGATAGCTCTCCCATTCCATCTAAACAGACCGTGTGCCGTAAACTTTGTATTCATGATAGAAATTTAAACAAACGATAGCTCTCCCATTCCATCTAAACAGACCGTGCGCCGTAAACTTTGTATTCATGATAGAAATTTAAACAAACGATAACTCTCCCCATTCCATCTAAACAGACCTTGTGCCGTAAACTTTGTATTCATGATAGAAATTTAAACAAACGATAACTCTCCCATTCCATCTAAACAGACCGTGTGCCGTAAACTTTGTATTCATGATAGAAATTTAAACAAACGATAACTCTCCCATTCCATCTAAACAGACCGTGCGCCGTAAACTTTGTATTCATGATAGAAATTTAAACAAACGATAGCTCTCCCATTCCATCTAAACAGACCTTGTGCCGTAAACTTTGTATTCATGATAGAAATTTAAACAAACGATAACTCTCCCCATTCCATCTAAACAGACCTTGTGCCGTAAACTTTGTATTCATGATAGAAATTTAAACAAACGATAACTCTCCCCATTCCATCTAAACAGACCGTGTGCCGTAAACTTTGTATTCATGATAGAAATTTAAACAAACGATAACTCTCCTCATTCCATCTAAACAGACCTTGTGCTGTAAACTTTTTATTCATGATAGAAATTTAAACAAACGATAACTTTCCCCATTCCATCTAAACAGACCGTGCGCCGTAAACTTTGTATTAATTGTTTGTGTCTATATTATATACATTGTATATTTACCAATACACATATATATTTTAGATATAATAAAGATATTATATATTTACTACAGATAATGGGTAAATATATAATATATATAATATAGATACATGTTGATTATTAGGATTATCGTAAGCCTGAACTAAATCACGTGCTCAGATTGAAAATCTGTCAAGTGTTTATTGTCATACTGGATTCATTTTACTCTTAAAACCATCTGAATATTCTTTTCTGTTTTTCATCAGATTGCTGACGCCATTGTTCGTAAAACACGCGAGACCCTGGAACGAGCTTTCAATCTCGTGAACACAAGTGATAAGTGGGGTGCTTGTGTGGTATATGGGGACACCGTTAGTCTTTTCGTATTAGTAAAAGGTGCAAGTAAAGAGGAAGCGTTTAAGCTTGGAAAAGAAATTGCTGATGCTGTTACTGCAGAGAATCCTAAACCTGTGAAACTAAAGTTTGAAAAGGTCTTTATCTGTTGTAAAATTGTGTCTATTTGAGAGATTTGGACTTTAAAATACATTTATGTATAACTAGGGATGATTTTTAGGTATATATGCCTTGTGTTCTTCAAACAAAGAAACGTTACGTTGGTTATATGTACGAAACATTAGAACAGAAAGATCCAGTGTTTAATGGGAAAGGAATAGAGACTCTACGGCGAGATACATGTCCAGCGGTCGCTAAGGTATGGAACAATCGACAATATTTACTGTGTCATCCAATCACACAAGATTCTGCAGGTGGGGAAGTTTTGAGTTCAAAGCAGTCTGTGATTTTAATTTTCTAACAGATTTTAGAGAAGTCTTTAAGGATTTTATTTGAAGAAAGAGACGTGAGTCTTGTAAAAGTTTGTCCAGCGGCAGTTCGTTAAAATGATGAAAGATAGAGTATCGATTCAGGATTTCATCTTTGCTAAGGAATATCGTGGTATGAAAAGATATAAACCAAAAGCATGTGTTCCAGCTTTGGAAATTGCAATGTTCATTTTATTGTTGAAATGAGAAGTCCTCTTTATATTGTTGTCATGATTACAGTTTTACTATTTCTATTTTTGTATAGACGTCATTTGTCACGTGATCGTCGCGCGGAACCTCGCTTGGGAGAACGTGTACCTTACGTCATTGTTAACGGCAGTCCTGGACTACCATTGATTTAATTGGTTAAAGAGTAAGCTCAAATGTTGTTGTCTTTCATTATTTTACGTTATGTATCATGACAAAAGCTGTTGGAATGTTATCAATAAATACTTTAGTATAAATATGATTGTCTTCATTAAATAATCTTCTTGTTTTAATTTTCTTCAGTCCTATTGATGTGTTAAATGATAAAAATCTACGCCTCAATACCATCTACTATGTTCAGAAACAAATACTTCCTCCATTGGATCCAGTTTTTCCTTGATTGGTGTTGATGTGTTTTCATGGTATACACAACTACCCCGCTATATCCCTCGACATCGTGTTATTGCAAGGAAACAAAAAGTTAGTTGTCATAACTACATTCATGAATTGATGTAAAAGCTAAATTAATTTATTTGAACAAATTTTAGCGTTCGATTTCTCGGTTTTTTACAACTCTACACTGTCCTGTATGTGAACAATTAACACAGCACGGTTTGTGTCAAAGTTGTCGTAGCAACCCTCAAAAGTCTGTCTTTATTCTGGCAAGTAGAGTGGGGAACTGGGAAAGAAAATACAGTCATCTTAAAGAGGTATGCATAATAAATAACCTAATAATTATGGTTTCTCTTTTTCATGACATTTAATTTTTTTTCATATTGTAGATATGTTTTCACTGAGCTGTATATCATTGGATTGTCCTGTTATGTTTAAACTAGAGAAGTCAAAAACAAATATGGAATATGGAATGACATTAAGAGACTTTCAAAAAACAATTGAAGAAAGTTATGGTCAGTCAGAGGTAAACAATATAACCACCAAACGTTGATGGTATATTATCATCGTTGAATTCTTGATGAAATACAGATTTCACATTTTTCACTAGAGCATTTTCTTGGCGAAGCACATTTGTTATAGATTTAACTTTGTGAGGTTAAACCAAAGGCCAAAAATCACTTAAATTGTATAAACAAACGATAACTCGCCCATTCCATTGTAACAGACCGTGCCCCGCAAACTTTGTATTGATTAATTGTATCTATATTATATATTCATTTATGTATTTGTTTTATTATTTATTAATATATTTTTTAGGTAAATATATAATATAGATACAATGAATCAATACAAAGTTGGATGGAATGGGGCGAGTATCGTTGGTTTATAATTTAGTGATTTTGGGCCGCCCATGGTTAAACTTTGTTATTTAAACATTCATATTTTTATAGCACAAATCTAAAGGGTTTTGGAGTTCCAGTAATTTATAATGGATCATAATGGATCACCATTTCGCTATTCTGTCAAGGATTGCCATCTAATACAGGTATAAATGTACATAAATGATCACAAGAAATATTTTTTTGCTCAATTGACTTAACTTCTTTGGATGAACTAAACAATGTCATTTCTATTATTCATAAAATATTCTTGTTTTTGGACCACTAACATTGTTTCATTGTAACTCATTATTTTCGATATCAACGGACACATAAATGCAAGCAAAAGATTAATTAAGCATAGAGGGACAAACAACGAAGCATGCAACATAGATATCAAAATAAGCCGAATAACAAATAGTGACTTTTAAACAACTTTCGTGTCAATAAAATTTTTATTTCTTCAATTCATTTACCGTTTCACCAGGTTGGTTGCTGACGCATTCGACAATTGTTTGTTTAATGTGCTTATAACTTTTAAATTTTCCTTTTAATAATTATACAGGATGTATCATTGAAACATTCTTTATACAATGATAATTTCTAAAAAATAGGCACTCGATGAGTACGTAAGGATTTGCTTTTTTGTGATTGACAATTACAAAATACCAGTATGATTGATATAATCTGACAAAAATGGGTGGGAACTCAAAATGTTGGGTATCAAAACACAACACCATAACAAGGTTTTGCCAACACAACCACTACAACTTTGTTGTTTACATTTTCTATGTTATGTATCTGCATAATGTCAAAAACATCTCGCTATTGCCTGCGTTTCACTAGTCTATCGAACATTGGTGTCTACTATCTAATCTCTGAACAAACAAACGTTTAAATTAATAAAATTTGGGAATGGTATATAAAAAAGTGGAAATATAAATTACACTATATCTTAGTAATGAGATGCCCCGATCCTCGTCGAAGACATTTCTCAATACTACCTTTGAAAACGTTTTAACCTAGGAATTAAAAAGCAAATAATGTTTTCCTACCATTATGTTATTTGCTTATATATTTTCAAAATTAGCCCTGCTCCTCATCAGAAAATGTTAAATAATGACAAACATTAATGTCGAAATGTACGTTCAGGCGGTTAACGAATATTCGAGTTCTCGAAAAATACCGCCATTTTTTAAGTGCTTTTTATGTCATTGAGTTTACTATTTATCTTAGTCCTGTTTGAAATGTCAAATTTTACATGAGCCAAATGCATTTAAAACAAAAGATATCGAGGATTTTTTCTCGTTTTTAATGCATTTACGAAGAATATTTGCCGAAAGAGAAATATACATGTTCAGGTAAATGTGATTTTTGATATTCGTGTTAGGAGAGAACTCTCTCTTTGATTGAAGTGTGAAATGTAAACGACATTAATATCTTTATACAAAATGTGTGACCTAAATATACGTCTTCTTATAAAGTTTTCGTTTTTCTTAATGTTAATTCTTTGCTTTATTTTAGACATGAACATTTTTCTGTTAATGCGATCGAGAAACATAGAACAAATGTTAGTGGTTTTAATTCACCATGATGGAGGACTTATATAAATAAAGAAATTGATTATTGACCACGATGAAAACGTATTTGGCTTTTGTTCACCATTCCCTTGAGGCTGAGCTATTTACGAATTGATATTCTACTTCGTCTGAACTGCTTTATAACTGAGGAAATATTAAGATTGTAAGTATCTTTTTCCTTGTTCATCGTTTTTGACAGTAATTTTACAAGACGTATATATATTGTGATTCCACTAGGCCGTTTACATGGCAAGCTATGAATGGGAAATCAAAAGATTTTGTTTTTTAGCGACGTTTCAATCTCCAGTGTCCATAAGTCAAATGCAGTTTATTGGCCTTTGGCTGTTTTAAAACGTTTTCCTGTACATTTTTCTTTCTTAGATCACGATTCTTGTCTCGACAATTGATCGAAAGACAAGTCACTTTTAACCAACGATTTATGATGGTAAGATTTTTACAGCAACAAAATAAACTCATGAGAAAGTTATGTTTATCTCAGGTGTTTAACTTAGCTATTTTAAGATTATACAATTTCATTTTCTTTACAGATTAATAAAACTACAAATTTTGACATTTTTTAATGTTAAAATCTTGTGGGATAAAAACATGGAATTTATCTTCATCAAAAAAAAAACAAATAGTAAAAATCCTAATTTTCTTACTACAGTCAATATTTTCAATTTCATGCCGTGTGCGACATGCACAGTTGTAAGAAATGGCCAATCTTGCTTCTATGCTTGCCGTCGTCGACATGAAATTGGGGATATTTGTCAGAAAGCCTGAAAATTAGCTAGATACGATGGTTAATATCGTCCATTCTTTTTTTTCCGAAACAAGTTTAACTGTTTTCAGTTTGTTGGTCCAAATGTCTAAAATCAAATGAAGAAAATAGTAATGTATCTTTTTTTGAAACGGCAATCCTTGCACATAATTTTTTTTGTCTGACTTTAGTCTTTACGTCTACTTTTGTGTCTACCTTTTTGTTTCCATTAGTCTTCGTCTTTTTGTCAATCTTTCGTCTATCTTTTTGTATATCTTTTTGCCTTTATTTGTGTTACCTTTTTGTCTATATTTTTGTCCACCTTTGTGTCTTCTTTTATGTCTATGTTTTTGTCCACCTTTGTGTCTACCTTATCGTCTATATTTTTGTCCACTTTTGGGTCTACCTCAGTTTCTATACCTTTGCGTCTCTCTTTTGTTATATATTCGCTTTATAATACGAACAGTTATATCACAGGAAGAAGAAAGTCTCACAGGAAACCCACAGGTTTCTATTCTGGGCCCTTTGTTATTCCTAATATATTTCAACGACTTGGCTAATGTGATACAATCCTTTAGTTAGGTGATAAGAACTTACAATATAAAGGAAGTTTATAAATACCTTGGCACAGAAATAGACAGTCTTAATCTGAATTCCATTTTAATAAATGCTGCGTCCTTTATTTTCAAAATAAATAGTGCGCAAAAATTATAAAAAATAAATCCTTGAGGATCAATTTTAGGTGAATCATGGAAATTGTAAATGTCAGATAATTTCAAATATTGTCAAGGTTGAAAAATGAGACATCACCATGAAATATGTGATAGTCAGTCAACATACCAGCAAAATCAAAGTGAAGCACCTTTCATGTTGATGGAAAAATGTTTAAAGGTGAAAGAATGTGACTTTGATCAAAGTTTTTCAACGCGCTTGTATTTCACTCCTTTTCCTTCCAAATCGTAACAAACAACATAGCATTCCATAGCTAGAACCTAAAACTCTTTTTTTAAATATTTAAAACTACAGTTATTTATTCAGTAATTTACACACATCAGCAAGTAAAAAGTGAATTACCTTTTTTTGAAACACCCTGTATCAAGAACTTAGATCCCCAGACCGTGGGGGTTCCCCTTTGTGTTTGGAGAGAAGGTCAATAGTTTGGTTACTTGATTTAATATTTCTTTCTATTTTCGGTTGGGGATTTACACCTTAATTGTTGTGACAATGTTCTTTTTTTGCTTACATTTAAATGTAGTAAATCTCATTTTTAATTTATATTTGATTTTCTTGGGATCAGAGATAACAACAACATTTTTTAACGTGATTTTGTGGTAAAATCATTTATGTATCTTGGAGAATCAGTTTCAAAGCAATGTAAAGTATAAACTAAAATAAAAGCAAGACATGAATGTCATAGCAATGAAAATGACTCATTACTCTCTATATCAGTAGTAAAGACACCAGTAGAAATGACTCATTTACTGTTCTTATCAGTTCTAAAGACATTAGCCCAAATTGTCTGGTATGTCATTCACTCCTGA